AAGTGAAGGGAGATGTGGACGTGTCTCTCCCTAAAGTCGAGGGTGATCTGCAGGCCCCCGAAATTGACATCAAAGGTCCCAAAGTCGATGTTGACCTTCCCGACGTTGAGCTGGAAGGTCCTGAGGGGAAGCTGAAGGGCCCCAAGTTCAAGATGCCCGAGATGCACATCAAGGCCCCCAAGTTCTCCATGCCTGACGTTGATTTCAACCTGAAGGGCCCCAAAGTGAAGGGAGATGTGGACATGTCTCTCCCTAAGCTTGAGGGTGACTTGAAGGCCCCAGAGGTTGATATCAAGGGCCCCAAAGTGGACATTGAGGCACCAGATGTGGACATTCACGGCCCTGAAGGTAAACTCAAGATGCCCAAGTTCAAGATGCCCAAGTTCGGGTTGTCTGGGTTGAAAGGAGAAGGTCCAGAACTTGATGTCAACCTTCCTGAGGCCGATGTTGCTATTTCCGGTCCAAAGGTTGATGTTACTGTTCCTGATCTGGACATTGAAGGACCAGAAGGAAAACTTAAGGGCCCGAAACTGAAGAAGCCTGAGATGGGCATCAACGTTCCCAAAATCTCCATGCCTGACATTGACTTACATTTGAAAGGTCCCAAATTGAAAGGCGACGTTGATCCTTCTATCCCCAAAGTAGAGGCTGAGCTGAGAAGTCCCAAGCTGGACATCAAAGGGCCAGAGGTTGAGGTTGAGGGACCAAAGCTTGATCTGGAAGGAAAAGCAAAAAAATCCAGGTTTAAACTTCCCAAATTTGGCTTTTCTGGCCCCAAAGTTCAAAGCCCTGAAGTGGACCTGAAAGTGAAGAAACCCGAGGTTGAGTTGTCCGGCCCCAAAGTTGACGTTGCTGCTCCAGAGGTGGATGTTCAGGCAAAAACAAAGGGCTCCAAGTTCAAAATGCCTTTTCTGACCATTTCCTCACCCAAAGTCTCGATGCCGGATGTGGAGCTCAACCTAAAAGGGCACAAAGTGAAAGGGGACTTGGATGTTTCCAGCCCCAAGTTGGAAGGGGAACTGAAAGGTCCTGATTTGGACATCAAAGGCCCCAAAGTCAACATCGAGGTGCCCGATGTGGATGTTCATGGGCCAGAAGGAAAACTCAAGATGCCCAAGTTCAAGATGCCCAAGTTCGGTGTGTCGGGGTTTAAGGGCGAGGGGCCCGAGGTGGAGCTCAGCGTCCCGAAAGCAGAGCTGGATGTTTCGGGCCCCAGGCTGGATATTGAAGGTGCTGGCTTGGAAATGGAAGGTCCAGAGGGGAAGCTGAAGGGTCCCCAGCTGAAGATGCCAGAAGTGAACATCAAAGCCCCCAAGATCTCCATGCCCGACATCGACCTGAACCTGAAAGGTCCCAAAGTGAAGGGAGATGTGGACGTGCCACTTCCCCAGGTGGATCTGAAAGGCTCAGATGTGCATGTGAAAGGACCGAAAGTGGACGTAGAGGTTCCTGACCTTGACATTGAAGGTCCCAAAGGCAAACTGAAAGGCCCCAAATTTAAAATGCCTGAAATGAACATCAAAGCTCCCCATATTTCCATGCCAGACTTGGACTTCAATTTGAAAGGTCCCAAGTCCAAAGGGGGGGTGGACATTGACCTTTCGGTGCCAAAACTGGAAGGGGACTTGAGTGTGCCAGATGTTAACATCCAGGGACCAAAGGTTGACATTGATGCTCCTGAGCTGGATGTTGAAGGAAAACTGAAAGGTCCCAAGTTCAAGATGCCCGAGATGCACATCAAGGCTCCCAAGATCTCCATGCCCGACATTGACTTCAACCTGAAAGGTCCCAGCCTGAAAGGAGACATAGATATTTCTGCTCCAAAGCTAGAAGGTGACCTGAAGACTCCTGACATCAGTATTGGAGGCCCAAAGGTCGACATTGAGGCACCAGATGTGGACATTCAAGGCCCAGAAGGAAAGTTCAAGATGCCCAAGTTCAAGATGCCCAAGTTCGGGATGCCGGGATTCAAAGCAGAAGGTCCCGAGGTGGATGTGAACCTGCCCACGGGGAGCCTGGATGTTTCTGCTCCAAAGGTGGACATTGAAGGTCCAGAGGTGGACATTGAAGGTCCTGAAGGGAAGTTGAAGGGCCCCAAGTTCAAGATGCCTGAGATGCACATCAAGGCTCCCAAGATCTCCATGCCCGACATTGACCTGAACCTGAAGGGCCCCAAAGTGAAGGGAGATGTGGACTTGTCAGTGTCAGGAGTTGAGTGTGAACTGAAGGGCCCTGAAGTCAACATTGGGGGCCCTAAATTAGACGTTGATGCCCCAAATGTTGATGTTGAAGGCCCAGAGGGGAAGTTCAAGTTGCCCAAGTTCAAGATGCCCAAGTTCTCCATGCCAGGCTTCAAAGGGGAGGGAGTGGATGTAGATGTGAACCTGCCCAAGGGAGATCTTGAGCTCTCAGGCCCCAGCTTAGATGTGGAGGCTCCTGATGTGAGTGTGGATGGAAAAGTCAAAGGTCCCAAATTTACCATGCCTGAAATGCACATCAAGGCTCCCAAGGTCTCCCTCCCTGACGTTGACTTCAACATCAAGGGCCCCCAGCTGAAGGGAGGGGTAGATGTTTCTGGCCCCAGCCTTGAAGGTGATTTGAAAGCCCCCCAGATTGATGTGAAAGCCCCCAAAATCGACATCGAGGTTCCTGATGTGGCCATTGAAGGGCCTGAGGGGAAACTGAAAGGCCCCAAGTTCAAGATGCCTGAGATGCACATCAAGGCCCCCAAGTTCTCCATGCCCGACGTTGACTTCAACCTGAAGGGCCCCAAAGTGAAGGGAGATGTGGATGTCTCAGCTCCGAAGCTGGAAGGGGATTTGCAGTGTCCCGACATTGACATCAAAGGCCCCAAGTTGGACATTGAGACACCTGATGTGAACATTGAGGGGCCAGAAGGGAAACTGAAAGGCCCCAAGTTCAAGATGCCCGAGATGCACATCAAGAGCCCCCACATTTCCATGCCCAACATCGACCTGAACCTGAAGGGTCCAAAGCTTGAAGGAGGTCTGAAGGGTCCTGAAATCGATATCAAGGGCCCCAAAGTAGATATCGAGGGGCCGGAGGTCAATGGTGATGGTCTGGAGGGCAAAATGAAGCTGCCTAAAATGAAGCTGCCCAAGTTTGGCCTTAAAGGAGAAAGTCCTGATGTAGACGTGAACCTCCCAAAGGCAGAGGTGGATCTCTCAGTGCCTAAGGCTGATATCAGCGTCCCAGACGTGAGCATCGAGGGTCCAGAGGGCAAACTGAAAGGTCCTAGACTGAAGATGCCAGAACTGCACATGAATGTTCCCAAGATCTCGATGCCTGAGATCGATTTGAACTTGAAAGGCCACAAGACTAAGGGAGGCTTCGACATTTCCACCCCGAAGCTCGAAGGTCACTTGAAAGGTCCCGACGTTGACATCAAAGGCCCCGAACTTGGAGTCAAAGGCCCCGAGGTTGATGTTGAATGTCCTGACCTGAGCATCGAGGGCCCGGAGGCAAATGTCAAGTTCCCCAAGTTTAAGAAGTCAAAGTTTGGGTTCGGGATGAAGAGCCCGAAGGCAGAAGTGAAGGTGCCGGGGGCAGACGTGGATCTACCCGAGGCGGAGCTGAGCGTGGAGGCACCAGACGTCAACCTCGGGGGCAAGGGCAAGAAGAGCAAGTTCAAGATGCCCAAACTTCACATGAGTGGCCCTAAAGTCAAAGGGAAGAAGGGTGGGTTCGATGTGAACGTGGCCGGGGGAGACCTCGACCTGGATGTGGCCGGGCCGGACGCGACTGTCAAAGGTGACGTTACAGTGAAGTCTCCCAAAGGGAAGAAGCCGATGTTTGGGAAAATCTCCTTCCCAGATGTTGAATTTGACCTGAAATCACACCGGTTCCGAGGAGACGCTTCGGTGGCAGCCCCCAAGATCGAGGGGGAGCTCAAAGCCCCGGAGTTGGACGTGGCTTTGCCGGCGCTCAAGGGGGACCTGAAAGGTCCGAGTCTCAACGTGGACGTTGAAGCTCCTGATGTGAGCGTGAAGAAGCCCAAGTTCAACCTTCCCAGTGGGCAGGTGGGCGCAGGGGGCTTGAAAATAGAGGGTGACCTCAAAGGAGCCTCCATTGACGTTGTGGTTCCCTCGATCCCGGTGCCAGACGTCGACTTGAATGTGAAAGGACCAAAAGGCAAAGGTGAGGTTAATGTTCCTGGAGCAGAACTGGAAGGTCCCGGAGGGAAGTTGAAGTTGCCCAAGGTGGGGAAAATGGGTCTTGGTCTGGAAATGCCAGATGTGAACTTGGATCTGTCTGTGCCAGGAGGGGAAGGAAGCGTGAGCCTCCCTTCGGCTGATGTCAACCTCCGAGGGGGTGACGTGAAGCTCAAAGGGCCCCAAATCTCCGGCCCTGAGTTTGATGGAAACCTGAAAGGACCAAAACTAAAGGGAGATCTGGACATGTCGAGTTCCCTGGAAGGGCCCAAGGTCAGCCTGGACACGGCGGGAATCGACATGGGAGGGAAGTTGAAGCTGCCAAAGTTCAAGATGGAGGGACCGGACCTGAGCGTGAAGGGAGGCGGAGAGTGCTCGGTGGAGGCAAAAGCCCCGGGGGCAGGTCTCAACCTGGGCACCGCGGGCATCGATGTCAGAGGGCCCTCGGTGGATGTTTCTGCCCCAGATTTGGATGTAAACCTGAAAGGACCAAAGTTGAAAGGAGACTTGGATGTGAAATGCCCCAAAGCATCAGTGGATGCATCTGACGCCGGCTTTGAGATCCTGGGTGGCACCATCAAGCTCCCATCCCTCAAACTCCCCCAGTTCGGGCTTTCCAGCCCTGGTGTGGA